GAGCAAGGCCGCCCAGGCGGCGGGAGTCCCGCTGCCTGGGCGGCTTTGCAAAGCCGCCCAGGCGGCGGCTTTGCTCGGGTGTCCCTGGTCTGCTGGGGGCATCCAGCGGCTTTGCTGGACCCCCCCAGCAGACTAGGGAGACCGGGAGAAGCTTTTCTCGCCCTTGAGGACACGGGTGGCGACCTGCCGCCCGTGAGCTCCGGGGCGAGAAAAGCCCCGTCCGTAAGTGCGGATCCGACATAAGTTGGATCCGCCTAAGTCGGGGACTGCCTGTACAATACTATGCTAGTCTTATGCCTTCAGAACTGGGATCCTGGCTGTTAGCCACCATTCTCTAGTTGCCTAGTTCTGAAGGCAGCTCTGCCTCCAGCACCAGCACTTAAATAAGGGTAGCAGCAGCTCAACCCCCTCCAATAATCTTGTAATCCACCCAAGGCCTTTTTGGATCAGGACTTCTGCAATTACAACACCATGAAACTTTTCATTCATATAGCTGAAATCATTACATTTGCGATTTTAAAAAATCTATGGCCATGAAATTGACCAATATAGACCGTGAATTTGGTAGAACCCTAATTATTATATATCATAGAACATCTATTCATTCTGTGATAATTTTTACAGCTGTTTGTTTATAGACAGCAAAATAATAGCTTGAAAAGAATGGACAGGTGGTGTTCACTAATCACTTTTATTTTCCAAAAAAATTAAAGGTTTCTTGTGCTGTTCAGTTTTGTACGGAAAGGCTCTTTATTCTCTGTCACTTGAAATCTGTATGTTGGCAGGAGTGGAGAATCAGGGTCCATGTATGTATTTTGAAAGGGCACCTATCTCTACAAATGCTACTTTATCTGAATTACATATGTGTAATTCAGCAGTCCACACATGGCTCTATAATTGAGCTTGGGGCCAGATGCCAAGAAAATTATCATCTAATCCTGGCCGTGCCACTGTGTGTGGCATATTTTTTTTCCATTTAACTTAAAAATCCATGGGAACTAGCGCTGGTTGGAGCAGCATTAACTATCAGGCTCTTTGTGTCTGCTATTGGGGTAGTGTCACAAGCAACTGTGGAGAAGCCGAGAGCTGCAGAGCAATCAAGTCATGCTTCCATGTGGAGGACGTGATACATGCTGGGCAGATTCTGTGGATTTCAATAAGTGTGTTTATAACATTTATTCTGACCACTGATACATTGGGAAATACTTGTAGGATGCTTTTTAAAATCTATCTAGTTAGCCTTCAGGAACATACCAAATACTCTAATGAAATTCATGTAATATGAAACATACAGCAAACATACTGAACCTATCTATTCAAAAGATCTGAAAACTGAACTTTAAATTTTATTAGTGATTGCGTTGGTTAAATTTCAGTGGTACCTTTGACACTTCCCATATGAATGTCAAATTGCCTGTAACAAGAGGTCTTTCTTTCTTAAGTTGGTTTTAGTCAGATGATTAAATATGATGCTGCCTGAAACAAGCTATAATACACCCTCTCTGATTCTGTCTGCCCACTCCTTTTTTGTGCCCAAGTTTTTCCAGTCTACTTAAATAAAGATAAATGTTATGAGCAAGTCCCCTAACTTGTAAGGGCTAGAAGGTATGAATCATTGTTTGTAGTCAGTGCTGTGTTGCCAAACCTAAACTGTTCAATGTGATGTGGGTTATCTCAAATTACCTTTTTATTTTTAACCTGTAGAATGCTTTGGTTTACAATTCAAAACGGTTTATGGCCATGAACGTTTGTCTATACGAGGAGGTGATCAAAAGTGACTGGGATTCTCCAACACTAGAGTTACCCTAAAAGAGGAGAAATACTAAGATTAAAACAGTCAGATTTGTAAGAAGAGGATGGTCTTGATCTAGTCAGTACTCCTGCTACAGAAAGAAGGTGTATTTATGTTCCATAATAATTAAAGATATAAATGCAGCAGAAAGAAATTAACTAGGTAAAGAACATACACTACTAATTTTGTATGGGTGCCATGTTGTTAGCCTCTGTCTAAGCGATGGAAGTGTACATGGGGATTGTCTCTATCAGACTCTCTAGCTAAGGTTTCACATAAACTCATCTGTTTTAAGAATGTACAGCAGCCTATTGTCAAAGTCTAGCTCAGCAAGCATATACATGTGACTGAGTCCTGTTCAGCTCTCTGCCACAGCACCTCCTGCTGGCCAGTCTTCTGCAGCCTCAGAGCACCCTCTGCTTGCCAGTGTCTTGCCTGCTGTTACCTGCTTCTTTTCCCAACACTTGAGGCCCCACATCCCTCCCAGACCAGACCTTAGTGCTCCTTTCCTTCAGGTGCTGCACGCCTGGCAGTACTTCTGTGCCTTGGATCTTCCTTTCCTGGGGAACCCTGCTATCTCTAGACCAACCTTGCCTCAGTAACCTGGTGCCATTCTTCATCCAGCCCCTTCCCTCAGCAGTCTAACTGCAGTAATAAACTTATCTTTGAATCAATCTGCAGTCTAAATTGGCCACTTGTCATTGGTAAGGGGGTAGACCAGCTGCATTTCTACCCTGGTGGTCCCCAAGCAGCCTTAGTATCTCCTCAGGCTTTGCAGGCCTCAGACTGGGGATTTGCCAGGTCAGAGTTCCCCCTGCCTTTACCCAGTACTGCTCTATCCCAAATACCCATTGCTATCAGGCATCTAGGCCCTTCTCTCCCCTCAGTAGGAATGAGACTAACCCTTTATCCAGGCTAGCAGCCCTTATATCCAGCCCAGCTGGGCTCTGCTTGGCTGCCACATGCTTCCTCTCCCATTGGCTCCCAGCCCACCCCTTCTACTCCATGAGGGGACAATTGCTGCATCACTCTGACCTTAACATTACAATGGCCAGTTCCTGAATATAGTACAGCTGCTTCTGCATTTCAGTTTGTAAATTTTTGCTTCATCCATGAAGGTGCTTATTTTATTTAGAGTAGTGAACCTCAGATCTGGGTAAAAGACAGGCCCCTCAGTTTATTGGGTTTTCTCTGGAGGCTAATTTAAACTTGTTTATGCTATAATCAGATGCCTAATTCATATTCTGTATTGCCATCGGCAGGCATTGTCTCCCTAATCCTCTACATTAAGTGTACCAGACTACATATTATTAAAAGCTTATTAGTGTTAGGCTCTTTCTGGTTTTTGATTCCTTTATAGTTGGTAAGTAGCCATCATAAAAATAGAGAGATTCAAAGATAAGTTTATGAATCCTAACCTACTGGTTAAATTAAAAAATTAAAAAATATACAAGAATCAACAGAAGGAACAGGTACGTCTAGAACTTTTAATATGGGAAATGATACTGAAAAATAACTCATTGTAAAGTTTGTCCTTACTTACAACTGAATTCTATCCAGTATAATTTGGATAGACATTTGGATCCCCCTAAAGTTCTTCTCCCTGTGCCTTAGACAAGTGCTCTTCTTTTCTTGCTTGGTTTTAGGAAGGACTTGTGTAGCCTAGGAACCTAGTCCACTCTTTTGTCTAGACTTTACAGGGTATTTTAGGTTTTGCCTGTACAGGATCCTTTCACCACCTTGAATGAGCTGAACACATTTCTCAACTTGATGCCAAATCTCCCAGCTGAACTCTGATTCTTAATTTAGGGAAAAAAAAAAAAAGATTGCTTAGTGGTAATGATAGGAGTTAAGAGCCTGCAATTTGAGTTTTGGCATTCTTGGTTTGGGGTTTCTGCTGAAAAGATCTATTTCTAGCTAGGTAAGACTCTATAGAAGGCTATTACTAAACTCCTTATTCTGAGAAAACATGCAGCTTTTGGATCTTAACCCTGTTGTGTGTGTACCTCTCCCTGAGACTTTAAGGTGGAATTATGTGTTGCAATAACGAGCATGACAGTACCTACCTTTGAGGCACCTAAAAAATCACAAGAACAACACCAGGATCTACAGAGTTAAGTTGGACACTGTATATGATGAATGGGGAGAGATAGGCATTTTGGAATATGCTCCATAAAAGCCAGGACACTCAGGGTGAGGGGAGCAGCCTAAACTAGCCAATAGGAGATATTGTCCAGAGGGGAGTGTGTGCTAATCCCTGCCCCATCTCAGAGATGGGCACCAATGGCTGGGCTAGGGGGCGGTGCCTAGTGATCTACAGACAGGAACCAGTTGCTTCGACTCAGGCAGCATAGGCATCTAAACCATTTTTGAAGAAGTGAGTTGGCTGTGGTTTTCACTTCTGGGGGTGATGGTGCCGTTACTGTTTGCTGCCCTATAGCTCTTATCACAATGGCAAAAACACTGGTAAAATATAGAGAAGTATAATGAAAA